TGTGTAAGGATAAAGGTTTGTGTGAATCAAATGGTTACTTGTAAAAAAAAAGAACGGAATATGGCCATTGGACTTGCAATGCGCACTCTCTTCGCTGGTATTTCATTTTTGTCTATGCGATGCTCGGAAAGCGGGACCCAGTCCAGCCGGCCGGGCTGGACTTGAGGACCGACTGGGGCCTGGTTAAGCGAAAATTCCCCCTTGGCTCCGAGATTTAGCCTCTGTTGACGATTGGTGACCATGAATTTGATCAAACATCCCAAGTAACACTTTCATTACAGCCGCCTACCCAGCGGCTTTCCTGTTTCGCTCTCGAGTCTCGTGTGTGTGGCATCTGCGTTTGCAGAGATACCGTCTCCCCAGGCGCTTTGCTGGAACCCCGGGTACGTTTGCATCCAGGTCAAGTGGTATTGTTGACTTAATAGGGCAATTCAGTGGCTAATCAGCCAGCGAATCTTGATGAAACTGATCTACATAACAGAATGCTTGACTCTCTGCTGGTACGAGCTGAAGCCTAACACATATAACAATATTGACCTTATTTGACGTCAGATTTCTCCACACACATTGTGCGATTGGTTTGCTGCAGTGGATTTTTTGGTCATGAGCCAGCAGACCCTTATGAGAAGGACGGTTAGTCAGTTAAACTAGCTATGATCTTTACGGAAGCATGTTTTTAGAGTACATGTCTCATCTGGCGGTGAAATGAGGGCAAATTTGTTTGTCTGAAACATTTTGACCTCGTTGGAAATCTCGTGTTAAGAAGGGCTTGAAACATTCTTTATTGAGTGTCTTGCTTGACTTTTAACCATTCTATTGTCTCACAATTCATGACGGCATTGCTCTCAGAGGCCGCACTCGGTCAACGCTGGCAGGATGAGCAAGAACTGACTTAAAGGGAGTGTCCCACCTTGGAGCATGTTTCAAAAACATGCTGTAGTACACACATGCTTTAGGAAAACATAACCAAAACTAGTTACATATAGTGCAGTTGAACGCCGTTTAAAGACTCAGCTCGATGCAGCACCAAACCTAGGAGCGGTGGCGCAGGGGACGAAAGGGCAGCCGGCTCCCGGTCGTTTGCCAAGGGAACATATCTTTCGTTCCCGCTTGAAATTGAAGGAGGGTCTCATACCGACAGTAGGCCACAAATGACCGGGAGATACATTGCGCGTTCGAATGATTTAAATGGTTGCATGCATTGAGCTGAGAACAAGCTTCGAAATTGCAATACGACATTTAAGCCGAGTGGCACAGCGCAAGGCACAGGAAAGATGTACATCGCAATGATCTTTGCGAGAACGCCACTTACCAAACGTGGGATTTATCACCCATTTCTATGCAAGTATCGTAGTGAGGGTTGATAGATCTCCTCTCCCCACTCGTATCACAATTTGATGGCATCGTTCCTGGTAATTGGAATCACATCATCAATGCATGGCTCACTGAAACACCTAAATAAAGCAACATTTTGAAAAAGAAAATTGCGCGCACAGAGCGAGATCAGGGGTGTTCGATAGCACCGGCTGGGCTGCCGTCTGACGCCGTAACGTCGTGCTCGGCCGGCCGCGGCTCGTGCTGTACGATTTGCTGTATTACTGAATGTGGGCAACGCCCGACGCATGCAAACAAAGGTATTGCATTGTGTCCAAAACATTTGCACCCGCAAACGCAGGGTGAAACCACGCAAGTGCATGGCCCTGGCCGTGGGCTGTCGACCGGCCCCGTAACGTCGTGCTCAGCTGACGACGCCGTTTGCTTGCATATGACCCTGACACATCTTGTTGTGGGATGTGTGCGGATTACCGGTGCGCGGAGACAAGACCACGGCAACATATTACAAATATGTATTCCGTGCGCGGAGGGTGGTGCAGTACATGTTTGATAGGACTGGCTGACTGCAATCGGCTGGGAGCATAACATCGCCCCCTGCATGCGGGACCTGTTTCTTTGATTCGGCCCCAAAACTGTGACTGAATCGGTTGTTTCACGGGGCGCTTGTAGAAAAAATACGACAGCGTGTTCATAATAGTCATAATTGCTGGCGTGGGCTAAGACTATGCGCTTAATTTTTTTAAGCTCAAGTGATGTTTAGCCCCACAGACCGGGAAGCCCCTGACGTTCAGAACCACGCCGTGAGGTGGTAACATCAGACAAATATGTGCCGTCGACCAATCATTATGCTACGGTGACAGGCAATGACTCTCAGCCAGTACCATCAAATCTTTGGATGCAGGTATTACCCTCGGAATGTAGATGTTCCGAGGTATGGCGACCCCGGGTCCGCTTTCTTACCTCGGGTATCTCCGCTGCCTAGAAACTTATAAGCGAAGGCTCCGTTTCAAGCACATGCAACGCCGCTTAACCGTGCAGACATGCCTGGACTGCTGCATCGGTTCGATCAGAGGCCGAAACCGGGTCAAATCTGGCTGCCTCACTCGCTGCCCCTGCCTGGCCGCGGCGCCCCTGGGGCGACCGACGGGGTCGATCGCCGCGTCCCGACCGCGCGGGCCACCCTCCCGGGGTCCGGTCCGCGATCGGCCGCTAATTAAAACAGCGACGGCGCGCCCCGGGGCCATCGACGCCGGCTGAGCACCTCATCAGCCGGCCCGCTCACCGAGGCGGCGCGCCACGGCAGGGACCCTTCGATCCTCCGCGCCCGCCGGGGCTCGGGACGATCGGAATGGCTGTGAGGGTAGGGCTGAGCGGGCCGCGACCGGGCGTTGCCAACGGCCGATCATGTCGTGGACGTGGTCACTGGCGAATGGCCATGGGGAGCAGCGGCTTCATTTGCGTAAGGAAGGGCGTATGCCTCGAAATCAGCATGGTGCGATGTGCATCGAGCTGAGTGTTTGGGCGGAGATGGAAAAAACAACCGGGTTTAGATGCGATGAACCTCTGTTACGCTCACCTCATCTAAAGCTTGTCGTGTTACAGTTTAATAAAATGATTGAGACAAGGTGAAACAGCGTATGGTGTAAGGTGTAACAGATGTTACAGCTTAATGTAAGGATTGGGCAAGACAAGGTGTGACGGATGTGCCCATGCGCTATATGGTGCACGGTGTGCGGGTATGCAATGCACGAATATGTGCACATCCTAACACACAAGACGAGGACGACAGTGCGAACGATTTTTCTTTCGATGATACTAACACCCCGCCTGTAAAACTGTAACCGACCGGTACGGACTCGAACCGGTATCCAACTGACGGCAGTGAGAAAACCTAAACAAACATGAAAATCGCCTGCCGCATGAGGCCGCTAGGACGACGGTCGTTCAGAGACCAGGGCGATGATGATCCCATCAACCAATAAAAGTCGCGAGAATATCCTCGAACCAAGCCCATAATGCAACTGTAAGGCCAGTGGGCTGCAGTGCAATGGATGGACCAGTCACGCCCAGAATGCAATCTCAGTTCGCCGCCGCTAGGTGGCAGTAAAGCCGAGGCTAGTGCGTCCGCCGGGGGACGGCAAAGGATACGTCCTGGCCGCCGGGCAGCATCCGGGGCCGCGTCCCAGCTGTTGGCGCGTACCGCTCCGTCATCCCTGGGTAATCCTCAGGTTAATGTGCTGGAGGGTAACAGTAGTTCAGGTGTGACTGAATTGTTTGGTGGTTCGAATTACGCTGTTACACCATTTTTGCAAAGATCGAAGTGCTAGGACGTTCATGAAAATTGTCGGATCTAGATAACCATGACTAGTGCTAGCTTTAGGGCTCCGTTGTCACATGTGACAAGTGGCATTCGGGAGGCCCTCTGACACTCGGGGTCCCTTGCTGATATTGAGCCGCCTGACCAGGCCGTGGCCCCTGCCCGAGACATCGGTCCCTCGTTGTTGTAAGGGCCCAGCAGTGCAAGTCAGTAGTCCGGCTTTGTTCACACATGGGAAGTGCGACTGACACGGAGCCGACTGTTTCGTGCTGGTGGTCTCTGGGCGACTGCAGGCCCGCATTGTCCCAGAGGCCTCCAAAACGGTGCAAGCGGTCCTCGACATTTCAGGTCTCGGCCCTAACGACCAATATAGTTCTTATTGCCACGGAGCGTGCAAGGGCTCGTGTCCCATCCCCTAACGGTGATCGTTTGAAGACGCTAGCATGCGGCTGCCCAAGACTACGCGGCTACTTATGGCCCCGTGCCCTGATCAGCTCGAGCGTACCAATGAAATGGTCGCAGTCAACTCGAAAACCAACGCGTTGGCACCTTACAGACAATCCAACTCACGCAACTGAGCCCCGCATCAATCCGTCGGACTCGGGCGGCCGAACACGGCGTATAGCTCAGCGCACGAGGCGGCCGGGCCGGCGGACAGGACCCGCGGGACGCCGGCCGTCCGCCACCCGGGGACCTGCGGCGGACGGCCGGACGCGGTCCCGTCCGTCAGATCCCCGCCGCCCGGGGGAAATCAGGCCGACAGCCAATCAATTAAAGCAGGCCTTGTTTGCCATCCGCGGCGCCGGCGGCACGACGCCGAACCAGCGATCGTCATGAGGGTGGTCGCCGTCCGCGCCGACGTGATGGCCACGCCAGATTTACGGTCTCCGAAGGCCGGGACACCATAGTGAACGCATTCGGGCTAAATAATACGGCGCATCTTGACAGGATCTCAGCACTATGGCCTACGAAGAGCACCTTCCCTCATCTAGCAACACACTACCGCCGTGACTAAGCGCATGCCGATATTGTTTCGCTGTCCGCGGTACCACGCCATGCCCATGTTGGGTCAGGCTGGTCCGGATATTTACGACGGCAGAACCCCGCCGTGGTGAACATCCGGCACAGCCGCGGCAGAACGAACAAGTATCCAAAACCGCGACATTATCACAGCTTCAAAAAACATTCCATTGCTAGCATGACATCACAATGATGCAAATGCCACCTGACGCGAGACCTACGGTACACCCGACGCGCGGCTCCACATGCCGCAAACAGTTCTCAAATGTTCCACGGCTTGCCTCCCTCGCAACTTGCCATGCCATACCACGCTGTGATTGAAACCCGCGAGCTTTCATAGGCGTGTATTGTATGAATCAACCGAGGTTCGGGCGCTTCTGTCCCTTGTCTTCTACCTTCCTCCTCTCGAAGGTCTTCTTCTGCTGGGCAGTGCTCTTGTTGTGTTTGCGCGAGAACCGCATGTTGCGAAGATACTTGGCGTCAACCTGGCGAAAGATTAAGTTCTCAGGTGCGAACAAGAAGATAGAGCACTCAGAAGCGAGTGAGCAAAAACCAACACTCCACCGTCGCTGCTTTCAGCTCCAGACCGAGTGACTTACGACTTATATACTGAAAACGTAAGGACAGGTCTCATTATCGACTGAAATAAACCAGTTAATACATCACAATGCATTAACTGCTACTTGTTGACATTGGAATGACACATGGCGATTGCGATGGTAGCGGAGTCATCGAAACATGGTGATATTAAGCTGCGAACCTTTCCTTCGCGACTTCAAATCCGCCGTATGTCCATGCAACGACATTCCCTGGCATCAGCTACCGACAAAAGAAACATTACAACCATAGTGACGGGACCAAGATTAACTCACTCCTTTCAGGGAAGGATGACGGCTACTCTTGATCTTCTTCACGGGGTTTCTGTGAGCCTTGTAACCTGAAATAGAGGGCATCGTTGGAAGTTTGTGGCGCGAGCAGTTGGGAAAGTGTGTGGGTGCTATCCATGTACGATGGAAGAAAGCAAACAGTTGATGAGCACATCCAACATACTTTTAAGATGTAGGTGAAATGACGAGATATTCTGCACATTGTACATTCCCATTCATGTGGGAAAAACTAAATTAAGTTTGTAGGTCAGTCATTTCACAGGCCTCAAAGTACCAAATGGTGCTGTACAACTGCAGCGTGAAATTGCCTTTTAATCAACCATGCGTGAGAAATGAGTGCAGGCCAAAGCTGAACGCAGTCTACCATCCCTAATAAACCAAACTCATGATATCTCTACAGCTGCGTTGTCGACCGTAGCTTAATACGTCGTGAATAAACAATACTATCAAACTCTTAATGCAAGAAATAAGGAGAAAATAAAGTGAAATGGCAGCAGAAGTCAAGCAACATCAGGTAGACAATGCCAAAACATAGGCTAATAGAGCGAGGCATCTCCGGAAATGGCACTTGCTTGCCCCGGAGATCCGGTGATGCAGCCTTTGAATGCTAACTTGGAAATCTTGTCACTGCAAATTTGCATAATTGGAACATTACTTGAACAAGGCTCAAATTTTTGGTACTAAAACAGATGCATTTGTAATTATCTTTATTTTTGGTGACCAGAGTCAATACATCTGATAAAAAAGCTTCACTGAAGTGATAAGCAAACATATTTTGAAAAAAAAATATTGGGTAGAGCATACTATGATACATCAATGAAGATACTATGATACATCCACATATGAGCAACCATATGATACAATGAAGATACTATGATACATCCATACTATGATACATCCATGGAAAAATCTCTCATGCATGTGACCACTTCGAGATCAATCACTGACCTCCACACTGACCGATCAGTGTGGGTCACCCAATGATGTGCAGGCAGCATATTGCCACCCCTGCTTTGTTCACCAAGATGAATTGCCATCAAAATGTCTCCCCAACAACAGACGGATCCACGAGCTCAAAGCGATGACCTGATGCACAAACGCATCCAAAATCTTGTCATCCTGCCATCCTTTCTCTCCCATATGAAAGTGTCAGCTTAGATTCAGTGGTGACAGATTGTCGGACACTTGGTCGGTTTCAACAAAAATCGGGTGTTTTTATGCAATCAACATGTTCTGTTTGCATGTTGACTGAATATATATCTTGTGAATGATTGAACAAGACATGTGCAACTTTTTCTTTACTTGAAGAATTGAGCTGCCCTATTCATCAGATACATGTCTTGGAAGCAAACCTTCTTCTAATTCCAGAATTGAAAGCACCCTCAGCATGCTCTACTCCCAGATCATCCATGGCAAGTTAACACTTTGTAGAGTAACTCTAGCATACATGCAACTTCCCAGCACACAACACAGGTGTAAAAGAGTGCAGAGCAGAGATGTTAAGCTGAAAATTTTACCCAAAAGAACTACTGCCACATTCTTCACTTTTAACTGCCAGGCAAAACTTGCAAAAACACATCCCAATAGAGTACCAGAGAAGAACAAAGAGCATGTCCAATAAGGTAGGAGTATTCTCATTTGCTCATTTCCCTACAGACCACAGATAATACAACTCATGCAAACTGACATGCAAAAATTAAATGCATCGACAACAAATGAGGACAAGGGGATACTCACTCTGATTATGCGCGGTATGATTCTTTGACTTGGCCATGGCTGCAGCTCACGTTCCACCTGGGAAAGGGGACAGGACTGGTTATACCCACTAAAAATACAAAGGACCACACATACTTCATCCAAAGATCATCATCTAAGCAATGCCCTAGCTTATGCCAATGCTTCTGATACAGCTGTGGTCAATCAGTTCATATTCAGACCAGTGCACCCTAGACGTGATTAATATGAGCAACAAATGTTTAAGATGTGGCAGGGCAGCCCTGTGCCCTATACTAAACCAAGCACAACTTGTACTACTCTGATAGTCCCAGCATTCACCATGCTGTACCCACCTTGGAGACCTAATATAACATCACTATCAAAACAAAACTACTAATCAGCCATGGATTGGGAGGGGCTTTAAATCCATGAATCATATGATAATCAGGCAGAGTAGAGGCAATGTCTTAAAACAATCAGAGCATTGTTCTACATTAACCAAGAAATTTGCCAGGTCATAATCTATCCTGTTATTGCTCACAGAATTGGTTGGAAAGGGCTTCTGTGAATTCTCAATAAAAATATAGCTCTACATGCTCACACAGCCTATTTCTTTGATACATAGCAGATTGCAGCCAATTTTAGAGCAAAGAGTGTTTTTAGCAAGACTCAAATTCATAAGCAATTCACTTACATCTTGACTTAGCTGCCAAGCACATGCACACACTTTCCAGACATACAGGCCAGATAAACCTAAGCCATATCTGAGGTGACTCCAGGTGTGAGCCACACATCATTCTACATGTAAAAATGTAACTGTAATGCCCCAGTGTCTAAAAAAATGAACCAAAATTTAAAGAGCCTACTAAGACAACTTGAACACATAATTCTTCCCATACAACTGGCTCACAATTTCAGGTCCATGCCATCATAAAAAGCCATGGTCAGGGTATACACTGCTATGTCATGTTAGGCAAGCAATGTACATCAATTGTCGTTTTTGAGGCAGAACATATTGTAATTAATTGTAACACATGTCATCTAAACTCTTACCTTAGAACTTACAGAACTATGATAGCAAACATCTGAGCGCAAACACACAGCAACCATGACCCCAGAGCCATTTCCACTGTAATCACAACATTTCACAACATCACTGCACATCAAGAACCATAAAAATGTATGAGGCCAGGGTAACAGGAATCCCATAAAGTGTGTTTCTTGCATAGCCAAGCAGTCTTCTGTATTGTGTGTGGATTGGTCAACATGGTGGGGAAATATGATGTTTTTGGGTGGGAAGGAAAGGCAAAATGAGAATATGGTGGCTAAACAAAACTTCTTAATATGATATATACAAAACTATATATATAAAACTTCTATATATGGCATGGAACATGGATGCCAATGGGACACTGGGTTGAAGGGGATAGGGTGGGGGTTAAATTAGGTTAGGCTAGGTTAGGTTAGGTTCAGTTAGACTAGTTAGGCTATGTACTGGACTATTCTGGCCTGTCCATTTCATAAACGTACCTAGATGTGATAGGAAGCATTTTTCATCACATTATTATTGTTACCTTGGTCCCATACATTTTTTATGGTTCTTGATAAGCAGAAATATTGTAGTTACGCAACAACAATACAGAAACGGCGCTGGGGAGTCAAGGCGGCGGGGGTGTGTGCGGCGCTCGGGAGCTTACTATCATAGTTATTAAAATTTGAAGGTAGGAACATGAATCTACCTGTTTAAAGATTATTTATGATATGTCCCCTCTTAAACATGACAAATGGTGCACCATGATTTTTTAGAACATTTGGTACCAATGTAAAATGAAAAGCTTAGAGCACCGCATTTTTTCCAACAATGCAGCATTCTGCAAAGCAGGGCCAAAAACATCACTAAATGACTGGAATAAAGTAGATCGACAATAAACGGTGAGCCCATACACATCAATGGCTAATACAATATCTTGATGGCCAGGGAGAGGGCAATATGTTCGTCACGATATTGTGCACAACATGGGGTAACGAGACCATGCCCTCGGGACGAAATCTTGATCGTCGACACCCGAATTCCTGAGCGACCCAACGTTAGAAACGCGATTTTAATACATCAACACCGTTTCGAATTTTAACTTCCTGCACCGAACGCCACAATCTATGACCCAAACGCACCTAACTACCAAGCAAAAGTATGATTACTATTCCAACGTACCTATCACCACAAACGCCTCGTACGGAAAGAACGAGGTAGGGATGATACAGCCACAGTTCATTTTGCGTATACTATGTGAAAAAACACGTTCTTTTGAGATTTATTTGAAGAATGACAAATTTTTTGATTTTATATGAGTTGTTACCGGGTAAATTCTACTTAATTTTTTTGTTAAAGGCATTATTAACAAATATTTGTCTTCTCTATCTAATGATGAAAGCGGCCACTATTTTGTATGAGCCTAAGATAATGCATTTGGAACGACCAGACTACTGAAACATTCCTTAAGCGGGTTTCAGGAGTAATTTTTGTGTGATTTTTCAAGAACACTGCGATAAAATTTGCTTGAATAGGGAGATTGCACCAAAGAATTTCCACTCATGTCCCAATTGTTGGGCACCCAGACGAGGCGCAAATTTCATACTGCTTTTTTAGTGCCCTCACCAAAAATAAAACTTGATCAATTTCCCGTAATGATTACGGTAGCAGCTAATTTAGCGGGTTGTCGCAAGTGACTGGTAATTCCACCTGCTGTCCACGCTTCACCATCAGTTACCTGGCGCGTGGTTATATCTGCGCCCCACCAGCAGCCACGGGTGTAGGGACAGGGGGAGGGGCAGAGTGGCCATCGCCCGCTCACTTTTCAAGGTGGGGGAGGAGGGGGGGGGGGGGAGGGGGCAAGAGCGTTAGGTGCCCCGCCTTCCACTTTTCAGGTTAAAGTTGTCTTTAGCTTAATTTTGCACCACATTTAGCATACGTGCCAATTTGCCTAGTTCACCAACCATCTTCCTCAATACGCGTCATCTTTTTCGTTTTATTATTGGCCATCGCTTAGTGTCAGCCACAGGCCGACGCCATGCGGCCTATGGAAACTGCAAAACCAGGGTTCGAGGCTGTTGTTGCTAGGACTTGCGAGCGCGCATGTTCAAACCATAACGTATGGTTTTTATCAGTAATCGCTTCTGACTGAATCTTGAACATTTTAAGATGAACATAGATTAGCCATGTTAATACAAATTTGGGACCCGATTTTGTCTAAAGCCATGTTCAGGGAGTCCTTGATATCTTTGAAGAACACAGAAAAACATGGAGTTGTGGTATATGTGACAATTATTGGACCACCTGCGGCGATCAGCCATGTTGTTGCGTCAATGAGTCTTTCTATGCTGATTCAGAGCCAACTGCACGGGTCAGTACACCTCCCGTGTCAGGGAGGAAAAAATATGATATGAAATAGCCTTCTAATGTCCTCCGGATCGACCAGGAGATCCCACCGCGCGTCGCCAGAATGACAACCAGAAGACACTTCGCCATGGGACAGAATGGCCCTTCTGCCCTAGACCGGACCGCTGATGTGCCCCTGGGCTTCTTCTCAAGCTGGAGTTCCTCTCAGTTTTTCTCCCTGCCCGGAAGGAAGTAAGGGGTCTCATTATTATTGAGTAGAGTGGGGTTGTCATTGTTGAACAAAGTAGGCCAAAATGAATAAAAAATAGCGAACAAGGTCGTCCCATGTTTGCCTGAAAACGTTCATTTTTCAGAACGGATTAGTGGAAACAAATATATCAAAAGGTTTGAACATGCCCTTCCTCAGCCTCGAGAGCAAGGACAGCACTGGTTTGGGTTGCAGCTTCCGTAAAACCGAACGGCGTCGGTCACTGCAAGTGCCACCGGACGGCGGGCGCCGTGTTAATCTGTCTTTACAGGAAGACGAAAAATAGAGATTCTACATTTATTCTCCCAATTCCGCCACCATATTCCAGCACCACTTCGCGGTGCCTTAAGCGCCAGTCCGTTCTTATCATCGGTCTTAAAATCGCACACGTGAAATATGCGCCCAGACTGCCTTCTAAATGTAAGATTTGATGTCCCGAGACGTTCAGAAGCACTTCTTTCAGAAGCTTCTTCATTTTCGTCCACCCGTTGGCTACGGCTCAAAATTAGCTGATGAGCCGACGCTGCGCGGCCTACGGAGACTACAACGCCTGGCGTCGAGGTTTTTGTTGGTATGATTTGCGAGCGCGCATGTTAAAAAATCCCGGTACATGAATAATATCACTGATAGATTCTGACCGCGTTTTAATCATTTTCAGACAAACATGGCTTGGCCATGCTAACACACACTGTTGACAACTCGATCAACAATCAAATTTTCATCTCCAAATTTCGACTAAACATGTCGATCTACAATCAACCTTCGTGATGTCCTCAGTGTGTGTAGAGCCCAAATAACACATTCTGACAAAGCTTCTAAATTCTATTGGTTTATAAAGAGCCCACTAAACCATTGAAAATTAAGGACACCGGTGATTTATTCCATGCGGTCGTTCAACACCTGATTTCTGCAGTTTATTGCCTTCAAAATAGAAACAGAATTCATCTCACGGTAGCTTCTAGTTTCTGTTCTGGTTGCAAGGTAAAAATAGCAATGAGGCAAGGAAAGCCGGATTTCATGTTAACAAGTAAGCTATATCCGGGGATTTTTTTTGGGGGGGGGGTCAACGTAAGCGGGGCTTTTGTCAACCTTTTGCTCCCCCTTAGCAAGGCTATGGCTACATCCCTGCCCAAAGGCGTAGGAACGTTTTAAAAAATGAGGGGGAGGGGGATAAGCCCAGGGTGTACTTCAGGAACTTTTTCTGGAAAGCGAGCCCGATGACCGAAGGGGGGGGGGCGGTAGGGATGGAGGCTGTTATTGCTCTTTATTCAAACGTCATGGCTGCTATGCTAGGTATGCATTTAGAGCTTTTTATCACCGGAGCACAATCCTGCCTGTTCGACTCACCTGTTATTTAGCAAATAAGGCTATCCGGCTTCCCTAGATTATTCGTCCATTTTAACATTGTCTTTCCTGGAAAGGCAAATTTCCACGAACGGG